GCCCCGCCGGCCGCCCAGCCAGGAGATCGCGGGGAGGCGGCCGGACCCCCTGCGCCCCCCGCTCTCCGGGACGGCGCGGGCGAGATCGCCATGGCAACCACGGGAGGAACCGCGGCATCCGCCCCGCGACTCCGGCGCATCTCTCGGCCTGATGCCGCCGCCGCCGCCGCCGCCACGTCACGCGGCCCGGCCGCCCCGCATTAACCCTCTCCTGGAAGCCGCTCGCCCCCCCCTCAAGGGGCTCAGCCCTCTCCCGCGCCTGCCCGCTGCCCCCCCAGCCCCGACCCCGGAAGTAGGCTGGCCGATTCAGGGGGCCTCTGGATGCCTCTAAGCAGACCCCCGGGGCCCAAGCCGAAGGGGGGCGCTCTCCCACAGTGTGAGGGGGGGGCGGGGTCCCTGCTGCTGCAGCTGCCAGGCCCCCCTACAGTCAGACCAGCAGGGAGGGAGGGAGGGAGGGAAAGGCTGCTCCAAGGGAAAACATCTGGGGGGGGGGCAGCCATCTGGGCCAAGGGAGGGAAACTCCCTGAGTGCTTCCTTGCCCCCCTCCCTCCCTCCAGGGCGCTTCCCTTCCTCAACTATGGTGGCCCAGGCATCCCCCACCCCCCAACCGATGACTTCATCTGAGCCGGGTGGCCTTGACTGAGCCCTCTAAAAATAGCCCGGGGGGGGGGCAGGGAGGGAAAGCAGGTGTTTGGAAGCCCCCCCTCTCCCTGCCTCAACAGGACTGTACAATGCCCCCCCCCCTTCCTGGGTTTCCTGTTTATACCCCTGGCCTAAGGACAGGCTAACGCCATGATTAAAAATAACTTGCAGCTTCATTGATCTGAAATCTGACGGTGGAAAGTTCTTGCGAGGGATCTTCCTGTCCCCTGCTTGCTTAACAGCCCACCAGCCTTTGCGCAGAATCGCATCAGAGGCCAGCCTCTGGGAAGGCCACTGAGCTTTCAACTACAGCACCCCATAATCCTTTACCCTGACTGAGCTGGTTGGGGAAAATGGGAGTTGACACTCTCTGGCCCACCTGAAGCCCAAAGGCCCTCTCTTGCCCTTCGCCCCAGGAGGCATCATCCACGCAGCTGGGCTGAAGGGGGAAAGCAGCCCCTTCCCCACCCACCCAGACCCTCCCTGGTCCCAGCCCTTGTGTGGCTCAAGCGGAGCTCCTTGGAGGGCTGCGTGGGGCAGGGCCATTTGCAGAAGGGCAAGGAGATGCCAATCAAGTGCCCCCCTTCCCAGACCGCACCCACCTCCTGCTGAGGGGGTGCATGGCCAGTTGCAGGCGAGGGTACAGAGTGGGCAGGGGGAGTCAGAATGGACCTACCCTCCACTTTTCTCTGAAAGGGGGCAAGCAGCTCGGCCCCCAAAACCAAACAGGCTGAGCTGCCCAGAATAACGGCAGGGGCTCAGCTGCCCCCTCCAACCCGCTCACGGCCTGGGCCAAACGGTATCTACAAGGCTCGGTCATTTCCAGGTTGGGCCTTTCCCTCCGGGACACAAAACAGTCCCCCCCCCCATTTTTACCCAGCTTCTAAGGTCACGTCTGACACTGCCAGCAGCCTCTCCCAAGCAGCCCACGCCCACCTCCAGGAAGAAGGGCCCGGACCGGTTCCCAGCCCCAGCAGCCCTGCAGCTCCGGAAAGCCCAGAGTCAACATGCTGGAGGGTTGGCAAAGCGCCTTGGAAATCAGCTGCCCCTGGGCGCTTTGGGGGCAAGGCTGCTGCTACCGCCCTGGCGTGGCACGGCCCACAGGGGCCACTGGAGGCCCTTCAGAAAGGTCTCCTCCGGAGGGCCCAGAAAAACAGGAGGACGGAAGGGGAAAAGCGCAGTCAGCTTCACCCAGCCCAGCAGGGGGCACTGTGTGACCCGCTCTCCCCTTAGATGCCAGGGGGCCCAAGAGCCCCCCCTGCCAGGAAACTGAGTGCCCCCCTCCCCAAAGGGTCAGAAAGCAGGGGAAAGGCTCTTACTCACCCAGAGGCTGCACAGGGGTTTCCAGCAACTTGGGCAGTAATAAAACTCCATGTCCCGGGTCAGGCAGCCCCCCACCCTGTTCCTCTCAGCCAAGCCCCTGCAAGCGGGCCTGAATAATTTGGAGCTCAGCTCCCCAGGATGGAGGAGGCCACGGAGGGAGAGCAGCCCCGGGGGAGCGTGAGGACCAGGCAGCCCTTCGCTTGCTGCAAGGCCAAAGGGGGACCCATCCCCTCGTCTCCAAGCTCCCCAGGCACCCAACGGGTTGCTAAGTGGGAAGAGGCTGCAGCACAAGGTCAGCACCCTTGTTTGTGGCAAGTGACCTCATTTCCCCCTTCGGCTGCGAGAGGAGAGGAGAAAGGAGCTTAATGTTTCTGCTAAAGCCGCTTTTTAAAAATTAAATGGGAGGATAAAACCTTCCCAGGGCACGACGCACTCCCCTCATCTGACATGCAGAACCGACCGAGAACTTGCAAATTATTTATCAGCCTCTCTCAGATTGTCACCAGACGCTTCTTATCAACAGGGAGAGGCGGTGAGGAGGGGGGGGGACCCTGAATCTGCAGGACATGGGCCCACCAGGAAGATCTGCTTCTGTTATGCCTCCAAAGTGCCTCGCCCACTCTGCCCCTCCATCAAAGACCCTCTGGCTGAATTCCAGCTCCGGAGCAGAAGCTAATCATCGCAAGCCAGCCGAGAAGGGAAGGCAGCAGGACAACACGTTCGGCAGACGCACACACACACACACACACACACCCAGGTCACCCCTGCCAGGAAAGCAACTGGGAGGCCTTCATCTCCCGCACTCTGAACCCCGGGGGAGCCAAGGGCTTGGAGGTGGGAAGGAGACGGATTCGCCTGGAGGGAAGGGTCCCGCCACTGTTTGGGAGCCCTGAAGCCACGGCCGTTTGCAGGCCTTCCACAGAAGCGGCAGAGGAGCCGCTGCAAGGGGGATTCAGGGGGGAGCCTCGAAGCCCATGGCAATTCTCAGCCCAGCAGAGCTGAAGAGCTGAGCCCGGGGATCAAGGGTGGGGTCTTCCCACCCTCAACACGGCTGCAGGCCCCCGATAAACTCCATCTCTGGACAGCAAGGCTGCCATTGAGATTCCGCCCAAAGGGCTCCCGGTCCCCGAGCGAGCAGGACGTGGGTCCCCGTCCCTGGGCAAGAGGCGCACAAGTGCCCCCCCCCAGGCTCCCAGAGAGGAGGCCGCCTCAGAGGGAGACCCAGCTCCTCCCTCCCAGCCGAGGCGCCTCCCCACAGGACCCTCCCTCCTAGCTTACAGCAGGCAGGGAGGGGGGCTCAGCTCAGCGCAGGAGCCCCCCCCCATTTCCCCACTGCCGGAGGGTCACCTGGCTGGGATTGGGGCCCCCGTCTGGAAGTCAAGAGCTGCACCAGGAGCCCCACCCTGCCCCCGGGAGGCTTCCAGAAGGACTCCAGGGTCAGGTAAATCAGTGACTTTTATTGCAGATACGCAAACCTTCTAATCGGGCAGAAGAGGAAGAAGCCCTGCGGTTTCCCAGAACCTTCGTTTCCCATCACCCCACCCCGGGGGAGAGGGGGGGTTAACTGCCCCAGTCCCTCCCCACCCTGGCTTCTCTGGCAAGGGACACCTTTCTGCCCATTCCTCGGCCCTGGATTCTCAGCCTCCCAGGAAGGGACAGTCCGTGGCAGCCGCCACCGGCGCAGCAACACCCTCAAAGGCCAGGCCTGACCTCCAGCCACGGCTGGGGAGGGGAGCCCCTGTCCGCGTCCACCTCAGGGGCACCTTCCCTTCTCCGGGGGAGAACCCAAGCAAAAGTCCCAGGCCGACAGAAGGAAACGCCGAGGACAACCAAGGACGACACAAGCCCAGTTCCTCTATGAGGAAACACGGTTTCTTCAATAATCCACAACCAACCTGGTTCAAGCCAAATGCTAAGCCATAAACCACAATGACGGGTCTCGCCTCGCTGCTAAGCCACAGACAAGCAGAGCCTGGGAGGAGTGGACAGACATCCCGCCTCCCCCCACACACACACACACCACACCCTGGGGGTTCCTGCTCTGCTGGGGAATCGGCTGCGGGGTCACGTCCCACAAGGATCCCTCCGGCCGGTGGCTGAAGCATGGAGGGGCCAAAGGCCGTTTTCCTCCAGCTGTTCTGCCGAGTCCTGCTGAACCAAGGCGGAGACCCACCGTGGCCTGTTCCTTGGAAGGACCAACCGCTGACCCACGGCACCCCAGGGAGACCTCCGCAAACGGGCTGCTGGGCGCACATCCAGCCCTACAGATGCCCAGAAAAGGCTTGGCAGAGAGCTGAGGAGAGGCTGCAGCACTTACCCCTGACCAGTGGTCGGTCCTCCTCTCTTTATAGAAACTCTGACTCCGTCGCTGTGTAAGGAGGTACAGAGAGCGCTTGGTGGTTGTGGCATCATCACGGCCCACGGTGAGGCCTTCGTTCCCAAGGTCCTGTTAGGAGGAGACCCATCAGATGGAGAAGCCCCCCCCCCAAAAAAATCAGGCACTTGCTCAGGTCTTGACAGCCCTCCTTGTCCCTGGATGTCTCCAGGTGGGCTAATTTCAACTCCCAAGGGAGCCAGACCCCCCCACCCCACCCCACCCTCTCTGCCTCATTCTTCCCACTCGGAAACCCCTCACGTACCCTTGTCCCTCCGTGAGAGAAGCAGTCCCTCGGCGACGGGTCTCCCTTGCTCAGCCAGACCCCGGGCCTTTCAGGAGCGAACCTCGGGCAGACATGGGGCTGATCCAGCCTTGGTCCCGAAGGAAAGCTGGGCCTTGCTTGGCTCTGATGGTTTTTTTCAGAGGAGGAATGCTTCAGGTCCGGCATGGTGCCTGTCCCCAGGGATGCGGTGGAATTGCTCCGTTCCGTTCCAGTACGCTCTGCAGGAGAGCCCTTCTCCCAGACTCCGGCCTGGGGCTCAGCTTTCCACCCAGTCTTGCCACCCCAATCACTGCTGGGGCACCACCCGCCGGCAGGGGCCAGAACCGCCCACTTCTTTGGACTGGCTTCCTTCCACAAGGCTCCCAGGTCCCTACAGGCAGGGTGGGGGCCAGGAGTGGCATCTCTGGCACTCTGGGGGCCCCGCCCGGTGCCCTCTCCTTCCTCTCTGCCGACCAGAAAGGCCGCCTTGGTCCTTGGCCCGGGGGGCTCTGCAGACCAGGGCTTTGCCTTCTCTGTGTCTGGCCTGCCCCACTGAGGAGGGCTGCACTTCTCCTCTCTGGCCCTCTCCAGCGCATCGCTCTCAGGCACACGGCTGCCCTGGCCACTGCTGGCCCCGGTGCCTGGCCCTCTGCTGCCCAGGGAGTGCTCCCCCCTGCTCTTCTCTCTCTGGTCGGAGCTGCAGGGAAGGTTCCCCGGGAAATTGTGCCTGGGGGGCCATTTCTCCCAAGGAAAGAAGCTGCTCTCTCTCTGGCCCTCCCACTCACAAAGCTTCTGGGACTCTCCCCCATATTCTGCCATCAGCTCATCAATGTCGACCACTCTCGACCTGTAGTGGTCGGGGGCTTTCTCTCCCGCTCTGCCGAAATCGAGCGCACCGGATCTCTTCGGCTGGCTATCCTGCTGGAGGGGTGCCAGGTAAGGAGGAGACCTTGTCCCAGGACAGAAGGGCGGGTCAGCTCTGGCCAGACGCCCTTCCGCCGCCGCCGCCGCCTCCAGCTGTCTCTGCAGCAGCTCCTGCCCCTGGTCTCTGGCCTCGGTCAGTGGCTCCCGAGAAGCCCCCGTCACCGAACGGTCCGAGGCGGCGCCTCTTTCTCCCCTGTGCCAGCTAAGAGGCCTGCCTGGAGAGCTCCCTCCCTCCGAAAAGCACTCCCTGCGCTGGCCATTGGAGGGACCAGCTCTCCTGGAAGCACTCACAGGAGGAGCCACAGCCGCAGCTCTCCCAGGCTGGTTATTGATCTCCTCCTCCCCCGAGATTTGGCAGGTGACTGCGAAATACGTGGCCTTGGGCTCTGAAGGAGAGAGCGGCTTCTTTGGGCTGCTGGGAGAGGTGACCTCCGCCTGCCTGGGGCCTAGTCCACGGAGGGCCTGGGGGCTTCCCTTGGCAGCTGCACCATCCATCAGATGCAGGGCGTCGCTTCGGCTGGCTAGTTCGGCAGGGTCTTGAGGGGGCTCCCCCAGGCCCTCAGGCCTGGCAGCGCTGTGGGGCAGAGTCTTCCTTCGCCACCGGTCTGAACCTTTGGGGGCAGAAACGTTACGGAAGCTGCTCGTCCACCTCACTTCGATGCCGGCTCCTCGCAACTCCTTCCCTTCCGCCGTGCCCTCCCACTGTTCTTGGGCTCCGTATCCGGCCAAGCGCAGCTTCTGTCCTTCAGAGCCCTGAGGGGGCTTCAGGTCCAGGCCGAAGAGGAGCCCTGGGCAGCTGCCACTTTGCAGGGGACTCGTCTTCTGACCTTCGCAGCCATCGGCCCCGGGCACCCTGGCTCCAGCCCTCCGCGGGACGCGATCCCTCAAACCGGCTGGAGCAAGCCACCTCTCCTTTTCGGTCTCCAGCCATGGTGCAAAGTTGCCGTCCTCCTTCGTCCTGAAGGACGCTGCCTTCTCAGAGGCCGGCTGCTGTCCGACCCGATTTCTGTCTGGCCCGGTTCCTTCTCCGGGGAAAGCACCCTGGCTCCCAAAGGCAGGGAGGTCCTTCAACGGGCCGGTTTCCGGGGCAGGAGCCTCGCTCCAGCCTTCGCTCCTGCCATATCCACTGGCTCTCCGGTTCTCCTTCAAAGGCCTCTGGCGGCGCAGAGTGACGGCCTTCCCTCCGGAGATGGCGGCCACCGCCTCGCTCTGGGCCCTCTCCCCCACGGTCTGCAGGACCTCGTACCTGGGCTCGATCCTCTGGGCCAGCAGGGAATCCTCCATGCCCTTTGAAGCACTTTGCTCATCCTTCTCCCTCGGGGGCTCTTCAGCCCACAGTGGAGAGCCTTCGTCCTCGGTGAAAGGTCTGGGAACTTTGGATCCTCCGGCCCCCCCTGAAGCATTGCCCGACTGGCCATCTCCCAGCATTCTCTCCGTCCCCGATTCCTGGCCACGGGAGGGCGAGTCTCCAAAGGGCGCCATCAGTGACAGCAAGGCCGGTTCAGGGCCAAGCTGGCTGGTCACCACGCTGTGTCTCTGCACGTGATGTTCAAACATGGTGGCTCTGACTGTTTTAGGGCCGGCATCTTCAGTGGAAGAACTGGAGAACGTTCTTGCTTTGGGGCTGAGGACCAAGCCGGGGTCTTTCCCAGGCGAAGAAGCGTTTGGCCTGCCTTTGGCAAGGGTGCCCTCTCTCTTGGGGGGACCCTCTATGGACGGTGTTTTTGCCAGCAGCAGGGGCTTCCAGGGACTGCCAGCCATGCCGGCTTCTCCAACATCTTTTCCACCCGCAGGCAGCGTCTCGTCCTGAAACAAGCAGAAATACGCAGGTATTAAGAAGGCGTTTGGGGGCCCTCTTAATTGGTATCTGACAGATCAGGTCTCTCTCTCTTTTTTTTTTTTTTGCAGTCAGAGTTGAAAGCGTTCAGGAACACAGTGTTAAAACACCTCGGTCTTTTTCTTTAAATAGTTCCTAGCAGTATATAATTCTTTTTTTAATGCAGAAAAGAATACAAAGGACGTTATACTCCACCATCCACCCAGTAACGTGGATGGGTATTTGCCCCTTAATTTAAACGATGTCTTTAAATTTCAGGCACTGGCTCTCCAAAAGAACGGTCCATCTCATCAAAACAAACTTTGTTAAGAGACTGCAGCTTTGCAAAAATGTATAGATCATGGCAAATGTTTATTAAACTGGCTATACAAGCAGAACTACCACAACCTGCTACACACACATATACACACCTACACTTTCACTTGTACAGAATACAGCCAGTTAACCAGCATAACCCTTTGACAGGTCAATGAATCATGTCTAAGAACCTTCCAGAAAGGGCTGGAAGACAAAAGTCATGTGGCCATCAGGCTACTTAGAAAGGCTGAAAAAAGGTGTGACGCTTTCTTTAATCTTGGGGCACTTCCATTCCCATAGTCCACATGCTGGCTGAGGGATTATGGGAGTTGAACCCTAAGCTTGGGAAGACTGGCATAACAACAAGAATGTGATCTAATTCATTGGTAAAAGGGACAAACCCACAGTTTATTAGGATCCTGGAGAGGGGCTTAAAGCACATGTTGCTAAGGAAAAAAAAGCCATGATTTTCTGGGCTATCCCAAAAGGCATCAGCCCTTAAGGATTCCTGCCGTGCTTAAAGGGCCCATTTCCTGCAGAGCCATACAAGCCCTGTCTAGGTTTCTCTTTGAGGGAAGAAATGGATTTTGGGTTTTCCCCCTTACCTCTGGAGCGCCTTGTGTTTCACCAGCAGGCTTCCTGTTCCATTCAGGCTGCCTCTTGGGCTTCAGCTCACTTGCAGTCACGGGGCCAGAAAACCTGTTTGCAAAGATTCCACACCATTAAAGAGGAAAAAACACAGAAGAACCACAGGCCTTTGTGCAATTTCTCCCCCCCCCCCAACCTTTGCAGCTGAAATGCAGTCAGCTATACTTTTCAGACGCGTACAAAATCTTAGCGCTGGCCTCCCCCAAAGGCCACTGGGAAAGGATTCCTCCCTCCTGGAATTGGCCTGCCCACATGTCAACAAGACTCCCTTGAGCCCTCTTTTTTTCATTGTTCAGATGCAGACAGAGCTGATAAAATTATCCATAAGTTTTATTATTTATTTATTATTTAAATTTATATACCGCCCTATCTCCCTTACGGGACTCAGGGCAGTGAACAAGTTTCAACCTTACTGGACCCCCCCCCCCATTTTACTGCTTCTAGGTTTTATTCTTTTTCGCATTACAGATTCCTCCTTCACGGGGCCATTATTAGCTTCCAAGCCCAGAGGATGCTTTCCTGGAATGCTGCATCTTACACTTACATCTTTGTCAAATCTGTGGAAAGAGGCCGTGAGCGGAAGGAGGCACGCAGGCTTCCTGCCTTGAGGCCCGCATTCTCTGCCGTCAGCACTTTAATCCTCTGCTGGATGTTCAGCATCCGGAGCTCCTGTCCGGGGCTGCCGCAGAGGGACTCGCTCGGGCTGGGAGCCCAAGGCTTGGCTGATGGGTCCAGGAGAGGGACAGTCTTTTTACCGCAGCCTCTGTGCTTGCCACCCAAGGCGTCGGTGTTCCTTAAGCCGGCCCCCTGGGGACTGACCTCTCCCCATTCCCCCAAAGGCTGGCCTGTGCTAGCGCTGTGCTGCCCCACACTGGGCTCCCCCTGGCTTCCGAGCCCCCAGGGCACCTTCTTCTCCTTTCTGGAGTTCTGCCCCGAGTCTTCCGGGACAGCCTGGCCCGGGGGAGCTGCTCCAGCTGCAGCTGAGGACAAACAGCTTTGGGGAGACTCAGGCAGCTGGCTGGCACTTTTCACTCCCGGGGCAGCCCCCCTTAAGCCGGCTGCTGCGCTCCTCGCTCCTGCGGCCTCCAGGGCCCGGTCGCCGGCTGCCAGAAAGCTCGTCTCTCTCCTTTCAGCCAGACAAGGCTTCTTCTGCCAGGAGACCTCCTGGGATGCAAATCTGCCTGTGAGATCGGTGGAGAGCGGCCTCGGCTTTGGGGTCCCTGGGCCGGAAGCAGCCGCCGGAGGAGTCGATTGCGTCTGTTCCTGCCAGGATTCCCGAAAGCCAGCCGAGGCCGCTGGTCTCCCTCCTGCCTGGGAATGCGTCTCAGCGGCCAGAGTTGGACACTGCTGTGGCTCAACACTGCTAGCTGAACCCCTGGGGGCCCCCGCAATGGCCTCCTTCCAGTGAGGGGCCCAAGAGACCGGCTTGGGGTCCGTGGAGAGGGAGGGCTGCCTTCGGGCCCACTTCTCTGACTGGGAGCGTAGCAGCTGCCCCTCCTGGGCCTTGGACCCTCCCTCCTCGGGCCTCCCCTGCGCAGGGCTTCTGCTTTCAAAGAGGATGACGGTGTTTGCCTGAGGACTCAGGCAGAAGGGCAGGTGGGCGACCGGCTCCCTGGGGGGTTGGCTTTCCATTGATTTTTGATCCAGCAGCGGTGGTACATTTCCAGTTGATCCCCTGGGAGCGTCTTCAAAGATCTGGGCAAAGGTGGGGGACTTTGGTGTACTGCTGCTGGGCTTGAGTGCCGGGATGGGCGGTTTCACCGTAGCAAACGTGTCGGTAGACGCCTCCCGGGAAAACGGCCTGGGGGTCCAAGGCGGCCTGGACGCAGTGGAGGGCATGGTGGCGGGACCCACGGGATTCCCCAGCTTGTTCCTGCCCTCCAGGATGAGCGGGGCCAGAGAACTGGGGCTGGTGTCAGACAGCGGGCTGATGAAGGAGTGCCGGAAGGCGGCCTCGTTCCTTGGCTCGCTTATGCCGGCCAGGGAGGTCAGGGCAGAGCCGAATTCGACTTGTGTGGCCATTGCTCTCCTTAAGCGCCTCACGGAATTGGGACGGCGAGGGTCCTGCCAGAAGGAGCACCCTGCGAAAAATGGAAACATCAGGCATTAACATGATGCTGAGCGGCTGTTCATATTCCCACAGAAATGTTCCAAACTGCAGCTGTTTTCAGGCCCACAAAAAAGATTTCCAGCAGGCTTCTGGATCTCTGCTCTCCCCACAAGGCACCTGCAGGGATCCTCGCCCCATTCTGCCGATTTCCTCCGGAGTCCCAACACACGGACACAGGCATGTGAACGCACACGCTCCCTCATCATCACAACATTCCCGCAGATGCATTTTATGCAATTAGCCTCCCAACACCAACCGGGTTCCCTTCCCAACAGGCCCTTTTCACACAACCTGAGTGTCCTGACCCGTTTCACAAGGATTCCACTTGGGAAGGGAGCTGACTCCAGGGAGGATCATTCTGAAGCAGACCTCCTCAAGGGATCCACAAAAACAGCTGGAGAGACAAAGAGCCTCAAGGGTTCAGGGAAGGCAGGAGGTCCTGTGAAGGAAAAAAAAAGAGAATTCTTGTCTCCTGCACCAGGACTGATGACCTGGAGCCCAACTGGACTCCTCCCTCGCCCCCTCCAAGTGGACAGTTGGGGGGCCTCCTGCCTGCTCCCCGCCCTCAAGGGAAGAGACAGACAGAGCTGCTTCTGGCTCTGGCAAGCACAGGTCGCCTCCTTGGGAACCGGACTGACGATCCAGGAATTTAATTGGCTTTGGTTAAAAAAAAGAAAGAAAAGAAAACCTCTACATCCAATTAAAAACAACTAATCAACATTTTCATGCGGAACATTTCATTCCAAAGGAAACAGCTGATTATTGGGATACAAATAGCTGGGGGGGGAGGGGAGGATTTGAGGGTAGCAGCTACCTTTTCCCAGGAGGGATCTGCAAGGCCAGGTCTTGGGGGGGGGGCGGGGGGGAGAGGATGCACTCCAATATTTTGTCCAAGCAACTTCCTAGGCAATTCCCAGAGCAGGAACCGGATGTGGCTCTGCTTTAGCATTTCTGCCAGCATTTCTTTTGCACAAAACGCCCCCCTGAAACATCCCTAAATCCAAATCAACTCAGCGCAATTCCCAAGGGCTTCCTCTGCTCGGAAAGGGGCTGGGTGCAGCTGCACGACCTACCTGGCCTTCCAGGCACCTTTCCGGAAGCTCCCAGGTGCACCCACCTTGCGGAGTTCCCTGCAAAACACCCCTCTGGCTAGGTCAGGAGAGGAGGGAACCCGCTCTTTGCCTCCCCGGGTCAGAACGGCCCTGCCGAGAGGCTGTCTGTTGCCTTAGACAGGAAACAAGCCATCTTTCGGTCTTTAACCAAAAGGCAGCCGTGGTTTGTGGAGTGTATTATAAGCAGACACGTCTCTATAATCATGCAGGCTTGTGGGCTGGACCCTGAAATTACGGCAGAGCAATTAAGACGAACGGCAGACCTTAATCATCCCCCAGGCCGGCTGAAGTCCCCGCAGCTGGGGAAAACCAAGGCCATCCGCTCAGACCTTCCCAGGACCTATCATAAAATATTGGGGGAGGGGGGAGGCAGAGATGGGACTGTCACGGACCAAGCTGGAGACCCTCCTCTCCAGGGGCTGCACAGAGAGAACCGGGGCCTGCCTTTCCCCCTCAGCGGAGAACAACCCCTCTGTACCCAGAGAGCAGAAAAATGGGGGCGGGAGGCTGTCCGGGCTGAATGGATGTGGCAACGTGGTTCGTCCAGATCTCTGCCCTCGTGCAGCCATCAAATCGTGCAGCCGCCGCCAATGTCACCAACTCCGCCCTGCTCACACGATCAGAGGGGGAACCGGGGCGAGTTAAGAGAGCCACCCTTGCAGCGAACAAGCCCATGGTGCACAGCAAGGCTGACTCATCCCCTGGACACTTCCTCATTCCGCCTTGCAGGCGGTCCTCCGAGGCCTCTGGGCGGCCAGATGCCCAGGCTGCTGACCCATCGTGCCACGGGGCGCCCCTCCAGCCAGGGCTCCTTCCTCACTCCCCTGGGCACGAGGGAGTGAGCGCCTTGTGTCTGCCCTGTGTGATCTCTGAATCCCCAGATCCCAGTCCCACCTGCTTCCCAAGAGCTCTTCAAGCTGAGTTTATCATCCAGCAGCGACGCCTCTGGCCCTCTCGGCTTGTAGGGGCTGCTTCCTCGAGCAGCAACCCAGAGTGGCTCTTTCCTGCTCCCCGCCCTGGTCTCCCTCGTGCAGGCCCTGGCCCAAAGCTCACTGGAGACAAAGCCCCGGCCCTCTCTGGAAGGAGACAATGGCCTCGGCCGAAGGCGCCTCCGGTCCAAGGTGCTGAGCAGAGGGCGTTCCGTCAGGAAACAAAGGTCTTTGTGAGGCTCCCGAACATGGGAGCGGCCTTCCCGGGATGGCGAGTCATGGCTCTTTGCCCCACCAATGCAGAGTAGAATGATATTCACCCCACAGGAGCTTCTCTTCCAACCTTCTGAGCCCAAGAGACCCTTCCCCAAAAGGAGCCCAGGGGATCTCTCTGCACTGGAGCTAATCCTGCTGAAGACGGGGGCTGGAAGGCTCAGCCACCAAGCTCCAGCAGTTCCTTCCCTGCCCAAGTCTCAGGCCCACCTCGAATGCTCCAGCCGCAGCAGCCATTCCGAGAGCCAAAGGGAAGCTCTTGATGCAGACACACAAACAGAGCAGGAAGAAGAGTTGTGACAAAGCGGCAGCAGCATAGCAGAAGTGCGACAAAGAGGTGAATACATTTTGTTCACCCTGAGGAAGATCCCTTGGGCAAATCAGCCCCTTTGTGCTAACTCCATGGAGCCAAAAAGCAGCCACTGGAGAAGACAGGCCCGCCTCTGGGTCAAGGGGGTGTGTGTCTTCTTTCAGGGCCAAAGCCAGCCCTCCTGCAAAAGCTGCCTGCCCTCGAGGCAGAGGCATCCCCGGCAGAGCCCCTGCTCCCCCCACCCACCAATGTCAGGGATCCTCCGAGGCAAAACTGACCCTCTTTGTCCTTACCAACAAGCCATTAAACGCAAGGGGTCCCATTTGAAGACGCATGCAGGTACCCCGAGAAGACAAGACCAGGCACGTTACGCTTTGCAACGGAATCCCCTCTCAAATTTCTGCCCTCTAAAGCAACGCAGTGATGGCCCCAGTGCCCTCGTGCTTGGCACTCTCCGGAGAACGAAGCTGGCAGCCAGCAGAGCCCAGGAACGGGACCCTCGGTTTCAGAGAAGGGGTGCTGGGTCTTTCCAGCAGGCTGCCCCAGAGACTCTCGGCACCAGCCGTTTCCCAGGCTGCCTCTTCCAACGCGGAGCCGTGGGCAGGGAGGGGAAGGCAAGCTGGCACAGGACTGGCGGCACCTCCGGGCAGCCGAACAAAGAGCTCTTGCACACAGCCCACAATTCCTGGCACCCGGCACATGGGAGAACCGGGCGAGCTACGGGCGGCTGCGACCAAGTGGGAGAGCCCCACATGCCATGAGGCCCCACTCCCACAGCCCAGAAACCTCCCCAAGAAAGGCAGGCTTCTCTCCAGGAGAGAAGCGGGTGAAACTAGTGGCTCGCCTGTTGTCCTTCCCCAACTGGGTGCCCACCAAGGAGGGCTGCAACTCAGGAAAGCTGTTCAAATCAAATAGGTCAACCCCCTGTCTTACTCAAAGGCCTGACCTCTTGTACCAGGGGGCGGTCACACCCACTCCCCTGGTCCTCCCTTGTCTCCCCCCAGGCCCAGCCAGGTGTCATTGGTGCTAAGGGAGCAACTGGTTAGTTGTACAATCCTTTCACGGCCCACAAAATCCACCACGTACGATCACAAGTTCTGATTTATTTCAACAAAACGATGAGCACTTAATTATTTCCAGGGACACCAGACTGATGTTTGCCTGCAGCTGCCCGGCCCACGCGCAGTCCTCCAAGGGACCTGGGCACTGAAATCAGCCCTCCTGCAGAAGCAGCCCTCGTTGGTCCCCATGGACACACCTGAAGGAACCTTGGCCCACTGCCAACCTAAGGGCTGATCGCTCCCTCGGAATATCACCTCAGCCTTACCTGCAAGCAGCCACCCACCTTTTGAACCAGGTACCCCAGCGTTGGGCAAGGACTTGACTCTACTGAGCCAAGGCAGACTCTGGGCCTTGGCTGCGTTCTCCTCATTAGCCACTGTACCCACAGGACCTGCTGCAACGGAGGCAGTAAGCGGTGCCACCCCTGCCAAGGACTGGCAGCAGCCTGCCCAGACCTGCTCCACTGCACCTTGCCTGGCGTGCTGTGCCGACCTTTGGCCCAAGATTCTGCCTAGAGCTGGTTCTCCTCAGAGCCTTCTGAAGCTGGCACCGGCCCCATTCTAGGGCAGTGGAGCCCAACCCCCACAGCAGCCCCCCACCCTCCAAGATGGACTATGGAACCGGGCAGGATGGGGACCGCTTGCTCAGCCACAGAGCCCACGCAGCTTCCTGGGTCACACCTTCTGCTACGCTTCTCTCCTGATTTCAGTCCTCAAAGCCGAGAAAGCTAATCTCTCTCAGGAACCTTTTTCCTTTGCCCCGCCTATTAACTTAGATTTATATTAATAAGGTAATAAACCAGTGTTGAGAATGCCTGACACCCCCCCCAGCTCCCGAGGCAGGCTTTCATCAGTTCCAATTAACTTAGGCGGAACGTACACTGCTCCCCCACCCCTCCTGCCATTCTGGGGTTGGCATTTCCATGAAAAGACAGTTCAGAAAGAAGCAGGAGGCCTCACGTTGAAACCCCAAAACTTAGAAGGAAAGAGCAGCCAAGTTCACCCAGCTATAATCTCTAAGCCTCACCCTAAGATGCACTTTGCAACTATTCTTTCAATATTCTGTTACCGTGAACATCAGGAATAGGACAGGAACGGCAATTTCCCATTTAAGTACTGTAAGGTTCGTCTTTACTGATTCACATTAAATAAGGCAAGCACAAACTGGTGAGCCACACAGCTTAGGAACTCTCCCCTTCAAGTGCAGCAGAAGAAGCTGCCTGGCTC